CGTGGCTCTATAGGAAGTTCCTCCGAACGCAGTGCATACAACAACGGTGCTCACAACTGCATGTGGTTGGGTCCTTCGCCAGGCAAATTTCCCAACCATTCTGTGGTGTTGGGTCCTCGTTTTGCAGAAACAGCGCCCCTCGTCACTCATTCCTCCTCCTCCTCCGCCTCCTCCTTCCTCCCGTCATCATCATGATCATCATCATCATAATCATCATCACCATCATTATCATCATCAGCAGCATCATCATCATTATCATCAGCAGCAGCATCAGCATCAGCATCAGCATCAGCACCATCATCATCATCATCATCATCATCATCATCAGCATCAGCATCAGCATCAGCATCATCCTCATTATCGTCATCGTCATCACCAACGTCATCACCATCATCACCCTCATCACGACCGCCCTCATCACCACCATCGTTATCATCAGAGCCGTCATCATCACCATCACCCCTCACACGTTTCGTGGCCCCATAGGGAGTTCCACCGAAGGCCCCAGTGCCACCGCCCGCATGCGTCACCCACACACACTTCGGCACACCCCTCACACGCATCGTGGCCCTATAGGGAGGGAGCTCCACCGAAGGCGCCAGTGCCACCGCCCGCATGCGTCACCCATACCCACTTCCGCACACCCCTCACATGTTTCGTGGCCCCATGGGGAGTCTACCGAAGGCCCCAGTGCCACCGCCCGCATGCGTCAGCCACACGCACTTCGGCACACCCCTCACACGCTTAGTGGCCCCATAGGGAGCTCCACCGAAGGCCCCAGTGCCACTGCCCGCATGCGTCACCCACACCCATTTCGTCACACCCCTCACACGCTTCTTGGCCCCATCGGGAGCTCCACCGAAGACCTCAGCGCCACCGCCCGCATGCGTCACCCACACCCATTTCGGCACACCCCTCACACGCTTCGTGGCCCTATAGGGAGCTCCACCGAAGGCAACAGTGCCACCGCCCGCATGCGTCACCCACGCCCACTTCGGGACACTCCCCCACACGCTTCTTGGCCCCATAGTGAGCTCCACCGAAGGCCCCAGTGCCACCGCCCGCATGCGTCACCCACATCCACTTCGGCACACCCCTCACACGTTCCGTGGCCCCATAGGGAGCTCCACCGAAGACCACAGCGCCACCGCCCGCATGCGCCACCCACACCCACTTCGACACACTCCTCACACGTTTCGTGGCCCCATTATGGAGCTCCCTATGGCATAGGGAGCTCCACCGAAGGCCACAGTGCCGCCGCCCGCATGCGTCAGCCACACGCACTTCGGCACACCCCTCACACGCTTCGTGGCCCCATAGGGAGCTCACCCGAAGGCCCTAGTGCCACCGCCCGCATGCGCCACCCACGTTCAATTCGGCACACCCCTCACATACTTCATGGCCCCATAGGGAGCTCCACCGAAGGCTCCAGTGCCACCACCCGCATGCGCCACCCACACCCATTTCGACACACCCCTCACATGTTTCGTGGCCCCATAGGGAGTCTACCGAAGGCCCCAGTGCCACCGCCCGCATGCGTCAGCCACACGCACTTCGGCACACCCCTCACACGCTTCTTGGCCCAATAGGGAGCTCCACCCAAGGCTTCAGTGCCACCGCCCGCATGCGCCAGCCACACGGATGTCGACACCCCCTTCACACGTTTCGTGGCCCCAACGGGAACTCCACCGAAGGTCCCAGTGCCACCGTCCATATGCGTCCCCCGCACCCATGTCGGCGCACCCCTCACACGTTTCGTGGCCACATAGAGAGCTCCACCGAAGGCCCCAGTGCATCCGTCCACATGCGTCCCCCATATTCATGGCTGCACACCCCTCACACGCTTCGTGGCCCTATAGGAAGCTCCACCGAAGGCGCCAGTGCAACCGTCCTGTCCACATGCGTCACCCACACACATGTCGGCACACCCCTCACACGTTTCGTGGCCCCAAAGGGAGCTCCACCGAAGGCCCCAGTGCCACCGCCCACGTGCGCCCCCCCCCACACACACACACACACACACACACACACACACACACACACACACACACACACACACACACACACACACACACACACACACACACACGCACACACACACACACGCACACACGCACGCACGCACGCACGCACGCACGCACGCACGCACGCATACATACATACCTATACCTACCTACATACATACATACATACGTACATACATACATACATACACATACATACATACATACATACATACATATATTTATACATACATACATACATACATACATACATACATACATACATACATACATACATACATACATACATCCATCCATACATACATATATACATACATACATACATACATACAGACAGACAGACAGACAGACAGACAGACAGACAGACATACATACATACATACATACATGCACACACATATACATACACATACATACATACCTACCTACCTACCTACCTACCTACCTACCTACCTACATACATACATACATACATACATACATACATACATACATACACACACACACACACACACACACACTTCGGCACACCCCTCACACGCTTCGTGACTCTACAGGGAAGGCTCCAGTGCCACCGCCCACATGCGTCCCCCGCACCCATTTCGGCACACCTCTCACACGCTTCGTGGCCCCATAGGGAGCTCTACCGAAGGTCCCAGTGCCACCGTCCACCTACGTCCCCCGCACCCGCTTCAGCACACCCCTCACACGTTCGGGGCCCATAGGGAGCTCCACCGAAGGCGCCAGTGCCACCGTCCACATGCGTCACCCACCCACTTCGGCACACCCATCACACGCTTCGTGGCCTCATAGGGGGCTCCGAAGGCCCCAGTGCCACCGCCCGCATGCGTCACCCACAACCACTTCGGCACACCCTCTCACGCTTCGTGGCCCCATAGGGAGCTCCACCGAAGGTCCCAGTGCCACCGTCCACATGCGTCACCCACACCCATTTCGGCACACCCCTCACACGTTTCGTGGCCCCATAGGGAGCTCCACCGAAGGCCCCAGTGCCACCGTCCACATGCGTCCGCCGTACCCACTTCGGCACATCCCTCGCAAGGTTCGTGGCCCCATAGGGAGCACCACCGAAAACGATTTTCACAATTGCGATACGCACAACTGCATATGGTAGTTTTTGATGGCGCAGTTTTTCGTTTCACCGACTGCCCTAGAGACCGCACAACCTGCTGATCCTCTCATGGCCGCCCATGTGCATGGCGACGTTTCCCCAAACGCCGCTCGTGCCACTCAACAGTCACGTGAATATGATGCTGCTTGCCGATGGCGGTGATCCTCTGAACGCCGCTCTTGATAGTGGAGACTATGCTGCTGTGTCCTCCGAGCTTCGGTTGGATGCCCATGCAGGTTTCGCCATACCCACACCTGCCAATCGTGTCAATCACCATTTACACGAATCCGCCCCTGGTGCTACTTGTGGAATTCCTCTATACGCCGCCCTCGATGTGGGCGCCCATGCAAGCGCCCACCGTCCTGACCCTGCTGCTGGTGGCCATCTCGCAGAAGGTGTCCCTGGTCGAACTGCCATATCCTGGGCTAGCGATGCTTCTCATGCACGAGATGCCTGCACGGATGCTCATCCTGACTGTCCGGCATCATCACGCGCTGCTGGCGCTCCTGGTGAAGGGCCCACTGCTGGTGGTGGCAGTGGCCGTGCGGGAGCCTCTGCGGAGTTCCGCCCTGGCTTTCCGCGCAGCGGCGCTGGCGGTGCGGCAGACCGAGCGGAGCCCCGCCCCTGCGGCAGGCGACGGCCCGGAGTGCCCCGCGGGGCTCCGAGAAGCGAAACACGGCCCCCCCGAGGCCTCCGACGGCGGCTCCGCGGGCGGCGGGCACCCGGCTCCCCGCACTGCCCCGGCACGCACGCAGAGAGCACGCGAGGAGTCTGGCAGTGTCCTCGCCCCGCGCAGCTCCCCATCAGTGATGGCGCGCTGCACGGCGGGCCACGCTGCATGCCCCTCCTTCCGCGGCTTCGGCCACTGGGGCGACTGCGGAGTCGAGATCACCGCCGAGCAGAGCTGCGGCGCGGCCGCCTGCTCTGACGCATCCGTAGGCTGGAGCCGGCCGAGGGGTCCGAGGTGGCCCAGCGCTGGCTCCAGCAGGAGGGGGGCGCGAGGTTCAAGGCTCTGGGCTCAAGAAGGTTTTGTTGCATTTCCCGGACTCCGGATGCCATTTTCAGACCCCGTGAAACGGATCCGGGGTGAGAAATTGCACAAGATGGACCCCAGGAGGGGTCCCGGGACCGATTTTGAGCGGGTTTGGCCTCATCCCCCCCCCCCCCCCTCTTGATTGATTTTCTCGGGGCCCATCAGGCTCAGACCCCTTGGCCGCCTCCAATATGTGGGGCTCCCTCCTTGCCCCATCGTGCCTTTGCTCTCGCAAGTGCCCTGGCATCCTTCGCTTCGTTCTGCTGCTCTTCCACTCAATTTCCTCTTCTCGTGTGCCGCCGCTTCCGTCATTTCCCCCGCTGCTACCAGGTGTCACACGCCCACAAACCCGCTCCATCCAGCGCGATGACAGCTTGCATTGGTTGTTCGCTAGTCGGGAGACCCCCTTCTCCTTGCGCACTGTCAAATCCCCCCCATCATCCTCATTGTCCTGCACCTCATCTCGTCCTCCGCCCAGCACCATCTTGTCCTCCCGTTACTCGTCCTCTTTCTCGTTCTCCTCCTCCTCCTCCCCTTTCCCCTCTTCCTCGTTCTTATTGGCCTGGACGCGCTGAGTCCCCAACCTTGCCCCCGTGCCCGCACTCCCCATCCATCTCCCCCTCCAACATCTCTTCTTGCTCCCCCCTTTCCCTTCCCTTCCTTCTCCCATGTCACCTTCTGCTCATCGTCACTCTCTTCCTCCTCGTTACCAGCTCCCCTCCGCCTTTCCCTCTCTTCCCCCCTTCGGCGCCTCAACGCGCTCTTTACATCGCCGTGTTCTCGGCTACTGCGGGTCGTCGACCTCTCACAGGCGCCGGTGCTTGATATCATCAACTCCGCAGCCGCCCTCGTCGAGGCGGGAGGGGGCCTGAAAGGCTTTGATGAGTCGAGCGTGGCTTGACCGAGTGGAGATGAGAAGGGGCGGGGATGGCGAGGACGAGGACGAGGAGGGCAGGCTCTAGTCGGTTGAGCGTGCTTCGATCGAAAGGAGATGAGAATGATGGCAGGGACAGTTAGGGTGAAGACGAGGAGCAGGAAGACGATGATGAAGGCGAGGAAGAGGCCCTGTCAGGTCGCTGATCCTTCGATCGAGCGGGATTGGAGCGGTCGACATGATGCTCCAGCGGCGACGACAAGGGCGAGGATGACGACGATGACAATGAAAGGGTAGGAGGAGGGAGGAGGGAGCAGCGGGGAGATGAGGACAGGGAGGAGGGACTAGGGGATCCTGTCGGTCAAATTTGCCTTCGGCTCCCGCACGAGGTCACCTTCCATGTTCGATCGATCAAACATTCCACCCTCTCATCCACAACTTGTTGGTGCAACACCACTGGCGCATCGACGCGAGGAACCTTCTCATACATGCCCACAAACTCGGGTGGGGCGAATGATGATGGTGACGACGACACTGGCGATGACGATGATCATAATAGTGGTGGTGAGGATGAAGGGGGCGACGGTAGTCATAATGACGATGAAGAAGATGAGGATGATGTTGATGATGATGATGGTGATGATGATGATTGTGGTGATGATTGTGGTGATCATGACGATGGTGTTGGTGATTATGATGACGATGGCATACTGGCGCTGGCGATGGTGACGATTGTGTCGCTAAGGGTTGCGAGGAAGTGGGCGCGCGCAGGGACTCTGACGCAGTGTTGATTGAAAGCCTGTTGATTTGCTTTGCCAGAGTGGTTTGAGAACCTCTGCTTTGAACGGCGTATGAACCTGATATGCTTCAATGATTTCGAGATGTGCGCGCGGATTCGCGCGCGTGTGGCTCGTATTCTGTAATTTGGCAGGTTCGGCCGGTGCGCCCGCAATACCTGATTTGACATAATGTCGAATAAACACAGATGGCATCATATAACTCTAGCAGCCCCACACGCAGCACCAGCGTTGTGTGTTGGCAGCAGCTGTGTGTTCTTCGGCTGCTCTTTGAAGAGTCCCATGAGCTGTTAGGGCTCGACCCTTGCCTTCTCTGCTGCCGCCGCCTTTGGACTCAGGAGGGGGAAAAGCACACAGACACAATTATCCGTCGATTCCCCAGAGAAGATGGGAAGATATGGGAAGTGGGGGGGAAGACAGAAGCCCCAAAAAGATGGGAAACTATGGGGAACCCATTTATTTGCGTGCATTCATTCGTGTGTCCTGGGGCCCCTTCACTCCTGGACGCTCCTGGGCAGGGGCGCACCCCGTCGATCGGATCGGCACGGCCGAAGCCCAGGCAGCCGTCGTCTCGGCAGAGTCGGGGCGGAGCCTCCCCTTCCTCTCCGGACTCGGGGGGCCCCCGCCCTGGGGAGTGGGCCCAGAGCTTCGGGGAGCCACGCTGGGACAGAAGCCGCGACGTCGAGCGCTGCGATCGCTCCATGGTCCAGCATGACCACCTGCCGCTGCTGCGGCCCATGGGCAGGAGCGGGAGAGGGGCGCGCCTCGGCCTGCGGGGGCCCCCTCGCAACACGCGCGTGCCTGGCGATACACGCCTCCGCGTCGCGGCGCGGTTCCCAGGAGAGGAAAAAAGCACACAGACACCATGAATCGCCGATTCCCAGGAAAGTGTGGGAAACTATGGGAAGTGGGGGGGAAGACAGAAACCCAGAAAATGTGGGACAATATGTTTATTGGTGTGTATTTATTTGTGTGTCCTGGGGCCCCTTCAGCTATCCCCATGCCATGTCGGACCCCTTGATCCAGACCGCTGAGGAGATAGCCCCCCCTGACATGAGGATCAGAAGAGAATACACCGGTCATGGTGTCAGAACCGATCCATCCTCTGGCAAGTGCCTGGCCATCAGCCGAAAGCCCTGCATCAATTCATACGAACAGCTTGGCAGATCAGTCGCGCCGCGAGATCCTTCTCCTATTGCCGATTGATGTCTCTTTGACTCATTTGCCAGATGAAGATCTTCAGGGTTCCAACGCAACGGGCAGGGTTGATTTCGTCAATCCTACCCCCCTCGGTTGGACCTGAAGCAAGAGACACGTGTCCCAGACGTGGACAGTGAAACAAGATGTCATCGAACTCCCGAGGTATTGACATGTATCGCGGATTATCTGTGCTAAGTGAGTCGGAGATCAGTTCATTGCACACATCATTAAAAGCTAAGTCGGGCGATGTAGTCGTTCGACCAGCGCAGGAGGATACGGGAACTGTCAGTTCAACCGGGGGTGCTATCGATCCTGTAAAAAGCGTGCCCAGAGAGCGGAGCGGAGTACTAGGGGGCGGTTCAACCGTTCCCCAGGTACGTCGTCGCCAGCCACTTCAGACAGCAGAGTGAATCGAAATATCCCAATCCCCAGTTGATAGTTCGAGTCTCCGAGAGGAGGAGACGCCTGATCACATGAGGGACCCCACTAGGGAAACGCCGTTTCCAACATGACCGAAGGGACGGACAGGAAGCGACATCGACCTCGATGAGTCACCAATGCAGATTTCCGGCTTAGCCTGGAGTCTTAGACCAGTGTCTCATTGTCCAAGTACTCGGGAAATTGATGGATAGACGGCGAAATCCCTGACTCGATTGATTTGGTCCAGCAAGATCAGGAGATGGGGGATTCGATGGAACACCAGAACGTAAGGTCAGTCCCGATTTCACGAGGCCCCCACCGGCGTCTCCTATTACAGCGAGACGGCTGAGGCTCGAGTCGCCCGCGATCGGCCGTGCGAGGCCGAGGAGCTGTCGGTGGTCTAGCAGCCCTTCTAGGCAATCATCTTCCAGAGGAAGAGAGAGAAAGAGAGAGAGAGAGAGAGAGAGCAAATCGTTCTCACTGGCTCACCGGGCGCCCGCATGAAGGGGGGAGGAGGGAGGGAGAGAGGGAGGGAGCAGGAGGAGGAGGAGGAGGAGGAAGACCAGGGCAAGCCACAGATGCGGAAGCGATACAGCAGGACACCTTCCCGTCCCATGTCCTCTCCTCACATGCCCTTGCATGCCTTCCGTTTCACCACAAGCGGCGCCCCCATTGAAAGACAACCACAGCTGGGCCTGAAATTCTGGCAAGGGCACCACTTTGCAAAGAAACTGTTTTGTATATCTTTGAAGTTTAGTCAGGACATCTCACCGAGGTGTCCAACGATATCCCTCGTTCGAAGAAGAACCGCCCTCACAACCGTGCAACTGTTGCGCCAGTTTCTTGTGGTCCCCGGGAAGGTCTCAAACGGCGGCTCAACTTTGGAAAAAAGAGCCGCCAGGGATCCGTGCAATGCTACGTGCGTTGAAGTTTCGGGTTCTGAAAACTTAACGAAGTCCCACGCGAGAGCTACAGTCTGAAAAAGAGCTACACCATTTTGAGAACGACCCCGGTCCATCCGTCTGAATATGGCAAACGTTGACAACGAATGTGCGCGGCGCTATGGCGGGGGCCATAGTTTGAAAACCACCGCCCCTCCATCCGTGAAAGCGCCGCAAGCGCTAAGGCGAATGCGCGCTGCGCTAAGGCGCGAGCCGCATTTTGACACCCCACCCTACCATTGAAACTGCTGCAAACGGTTAACACGAATGTGCTCTCAGGCGAGAAACACAGGTTGAAAGCCACCCCTCAACCTGCTGAACTGTTCCGAACGTTAACACGAATGCACGCGGCGCTTAGGCGAGAACAGCATGTCGAAGCCCACCCCCTTCCATGTGTGAAACTGCGGCGAGTTTGAGTTTCAGGAGCAGCAATGGTGAGGAAGTCTCAGGCGACACGCCCGACACGCCCTGTCAAAACGGCTGTGGGTGCGACAGGGGGGAGTTGCTTGCAAGGGAAAGGAATGGAGGAGAGAGAAGGAGAAGGGAGAAGAGGGGAAGGGGGACGAGGAGGATGAGGAGGAGGAGGGCGACTACACGGTGAAGGGGGGAGGAGGAGGAGGAGGAGAGGAGGAGGAGGAGGAGGAGGAGGAGGAGGAGGAGGAGGAGGAATATCCCGATTGGCCAAAATTCTGGTACCGATCCTGATCCAGCCGAGCAGACCCCGAAGCGCCGAGCATTCCGTGGGTCGAGAAAATTGCATCGATCCCCAAAGAATCGACGACCCCTCGTCCCCATCCTCCTCCGTCCTCCTCCACCTCCTCCTCCTCCTCCTCCTTTCCTCCTTGAGATGGGGAGTAGGGCTCCCGAGGTGGCGGGCCTGCAGCTCGTGCGCTACCCGCAGACTGGCTGGGGGGACAACCTGCAGCTGAACACCTTCCTCAGGTGATGGGCCGATTCTCCACCACCACTATCGTAGGCAGGAGGGAGGAGGAGGAGGAGGTGGAGGAGGAGGAGGAGGAGGAGGAGGACGAAGAGGAGGACGAAGAGGAGGAGGAGGAGGAGGAGGAGGAGGAGGAGGAGGAGAAGGAGGAGGAGAGAGGAGGAGGAGGAGGAGGAGGTGGAGGAGGAGGAGGAGGAGGAGGAGGAGGAGGAGCAGGAGGAGGAGGAGGAGCAAAAGGACCTCCCCTATCCTCCCTTCTCCCCCGTCCTGCCTATGGTAGTGGTGGTGGAAAACGGGCCCGTCATCAGGGCGCTCAAGTCCAAGGGGGTCGCCCACGAGGCCGCCAAGGTGCGGGTCAAGGTCGACCGTGGCACTTTCGCGGTCTCATCACACTCCGCTTCATCCCAGTTCACGGTAATGCCTGCCGACCATGTCCGCAGCAGCAGCGGCGATGGCCTCCCGGCTAGCGCGCTGGCGGTGCTGGATGCGTTGCCGCAGGACGCTCCAGACGGACACGAAGCTTGGGAACAAGTGCGTTTCCAGCGTGCTTCAGGCGCAAGCGTCTTCCGGTACAGGCGCGGCGACGATGACATCCGCTTCCAGGAGGGAAGGGGATGGAGGCAAATAGGGATGTGGAGGGAGATAGGCAGGGAATAAGCTCGAAATCAGTACGGGGAGGGTGAGGGTGAGGGTGAGTTGGGGAAGGGAGACGAGACAGGGAAGAGGGCGGGGGGTGTGGCTGACGGAAGGGGACGCGAGGGAACGGAGAGAGAGGAGAGGCAAGGTGAGTGCCCGCGCGCTACATCTAACATCCTACCCCTCCCACACATCCCAACCAACCGCGATCGATCCTCTTCACTCCACTGGCTGGGGCAGACAGGCGCACTCGGGAAGAAACCGGCCTGCCAGGAGGTGGCCTGTGGAGAGTCTGTGTTCCCCGACGCCCCCAGGGTTCCACGCGAATCATGGGGGGGAGCGCCCGATGACGTGCATGGCCGATGGCGCAAGTGACCCCCTGATCCAGATTTACGTCGGCCCTGTCCCTTTACAGGAGGAATATTAAAAAAACAGTTTTTAAAAAATTGTCTCGGACGATTGTTTTTGACTATTGTTGCTTGTTTGTTGGCTCTTTATTACTTGTCGTCCAAAATCCCCCTGTAGGAGGACATGCCCGATCGAAATTCAGATCTCACAGAGCACTGGTTCTTCTCGTATGCGTCGGCTCGGTGAGGGGAGGTGACCAAGAAGAAGGCCGGCGGGAGCGAGTTCGCCGCCCAGCGCCTGGCGCGCGCCTGCTACGTGCGCTTCGGGGAGGGGCTGAGCAAGGCAGCCGTCCTGGGCTGGCGCGACGAGGTCTACGCCCGCATAGGCGCGCCGCGGCGCCCGCAGAACTCCTGACCGCTGCGGCTGGCAGGAGGGCCCCTCCGCCCTGGACAACTCACTCTCCTGGTCCTCCCCCTCGCGAGCCTCGCCCTCCTGATCCTCGCTCTCAGTCTTCTCTCGATCGCCCTCCTCTCACCCAGGAGCGCGCGCCCCTTCTTCCAGGTACAGAAACCCCCGATGAAACGCAGAGCGTCTGGCCTGCAGGCTTCTGACCATGGTGATTGGCAGGAGGGTCCCTCCGCCTCGATGTCCGTTGCCCCTTGCGCCCGCATGGCAAATCGGAGGGGTGCCCAGAAGAGGCATGCTGCACTCTTGTCCGGCTCCCCCTGGGAAGGCGACTGCGCTGCCGCTGCGGCTACCCTGGCCCGCGGCCGAGCTGGAGAGGGCGGAAGTCGAGGTCGCGGCAGCCGCCGAGGCCGCGGCCGAGGCAGTCCGGAGGGCGTGACCAGCGGCAACCCAGACGGCGCGGCCGATGACTCGAGCTCTAGCGATTGAGTGAAATGAGGGAGGGTTGCTCCTGAGCCACGTCAAGTATCGATGTATTTTTAGTTGTGCATCTATCGAAAACGCTTGCGGCGAATCACCGCTGCCCCCTTCCTTTTGAAAACGCTCATGCGGGCAAACATGGGGCCGACGTCAGGCCAAGCTATGTGTCCCCCCAACCGTTGTGGAACCCTTGGGGGAACAGTGGGGAGCGGACGAGAAAGGAGGAGGAGAGGGAAGAGAAGGCGGAGGAGGAAGACCAGGAGGCCTCTTGAGGCCTTCTTGGGGCTCTTGAGAACTTCCTCGGAGCCTTTGGTGGGGCTCTAAGGGGAGTCTTGGGGGTACTCTTGGGAAAAATCCTGGCCCTCGGAGGCCGTCTTGGGCCCTTCCTGGGCAGTCGTGGGTTCCTCTTTGAGCGCTCGAGGGCCATATGGGGGGTCTCTGGGGCTGTCTTCGGGGCGTCTTGGGGGCCTTGGGCTGTCTTGGGGCTCATGCGGGCCTCCTGGGTAGTTTTAGGGCGATCTCGGGGGCTTCTGGGCCCGTCTTGGAGCGCCGGAAGCCCGAAAACGCGAGAACGCTGGAATCATTAACACATTCAAGGGGAATCGATGATTCTGACCTGGAATTCCTCTTGGAGTCCATATGGCGTCGTCGGGGCCTTTTGGACATCTTGGGCCGCCTTGGGGCCGTCTTGGAGTCGTCTTGCAACCGTCTTGGAGACAAGATTGGGTCTTCTTCGCCGTCTTGAAACCATCTTGGCCGTATTGGAGGCCATCTTGGCGTCTTGGCGGCTTCTTTGGCAGTTTTTGAGCCCTGTTGAGGCCGTCTTGAAGGCCTCTTGGGCCGTCATTGGGGCACCTTGGCAGCCTCGTGGGCGATCTTGGGGCTATCCTGGGTGTCTGTCGGGCCGTCTTGGGCCGTCGTACGGCCGTCGCACATGCAAAATCCATCAAAAACCGAAAGACCATCAATGATTTGGCCTCTCTGGGACTTCCTGTATATCCTCTTGGAGGCCGAGTGGGTCGCCTTGGAGGCCTCTTGTGGGCCTCTTGGGCCGTCTTGGGCCATCTTGAAGCCATCTCGGGCCGCCTTGATGCATCTAGGGCTTTCTTGGGGACGTCTTGGGGCCATCTTGGGTTCTCTTGGGGCCATCTTGGCCGACTTGGAGGCCATCTTGGGCGTCTTGAGGGCCTCTTGGGCCCTCTTGGGGCCCCCTTGGGGCCCTCTTGGGGCCGTCTTGGAGCCCCCTTGGGGCCCTCTTGGGGCCGTCTTGGAGGCTTCTTGGAGGCTTCTTGGGCCGTCATAGGGCTATATTGGAGGTCTGTTGGGGCGTCCTGGGCCGTCGGACGCCGAAAAGAAGCAAATGCTCAAATCCATCGAAAACCAAAGGCAAATCCATGATTAGGCCTGTTTGGGCCTTGCTGGGGGACCTCTTGGGCCGTCTTGGGGGCATTTTGGGCCGTCGTGGGTGATCTTGAGGGCATCTTGGGTGCGTCTTGGCCCGTCTTAGATTCATCCTGGGGCCATCTTGGGTACTCTTGGAGCTATCTTGGCCGCGTTGGAAGCATACTGGAGCCATATTACGCCGTCTTGGCCCTCTTGGAGACAATCTTGGGCCATCTTCGGGCGGGAAAGGCATTGACCCAGGGATTTAGTGCAGTTCTCTGGGTGGCCGGCGGGTTGGGACGAAGTCCCAGGGGGATTGTCAGAAAGAACCCCCCAACAAAAACAATATTCAGCACGCCAGGCACCCTGTCAGGGAGCGACGGGTCGAAGACGTCTTCGGCGAATCACCGTCGCCCCCTGCCTTCTTGGAAGCGCCTATGTGGCCCAACGTTGTGGCCATGGCTCGGCAAAGTTATCGGATTATCCGTTCCGCCAACCGTTGTGGAAACCTTTTCGGGGAACACGCGGGGAGAAACAGGAAGGAGAAGAGGAAGAAGAAAACGAAGAAGAATAATACTATGAAGAGGTTGAAGAGGAGAGGGAGGGAAAAGAGGAGGAGGAGGAGGAGGAAGATGAGGATGAGGCTTCTTGGGAGCCTATTGAGCACTCTCGGGGTCTCCCTTGAGCTTCCTGGAGGCCTCTGGGAGGCCTTTTGGAGGCCTCTTGGGGGCCTCATTGGTCCTCTTTGGGGCATTTGGGAGCTTCTTGGGGGCCTCTTTGGCCGTCGTAGGGCATTCCTGGCACGTCTGAGCCGTCTTTGGTTGGGCCCTCTCAGGGCGCGTCAGGGTCGTCTTGGAGGCCATCCTGGGCGTCTTGGAGGCACTTGGGGCCGTCTTTGGGCCTTCTTTGGGCCGTCTTTGGGGCCTCTTGGGCCTTCATGAGGGCCACCTTGGAGGCTTCTTGGGCGGTCTAGGGGCGACCTTGGGGGGCTCTTGGGCCGTCTGGGGCCGTCGGAAGACCGAAAAGGAGCAAATGCCGAAATCTTGCTGAAAAACCGGAGAACATCACTGAGTTTGACCTCTTCTGGCCTTCTGGAGGACCTCTTGGAGGCCTTTTGGGCCGTCTTGGAGGCTTCCTGGGACCCTTTTGGGCCGTCTCGGGCCATCTTGGAGCCATCTGGGGCCGTCTTAGTGGCTTCTCGGGCGGACTTAGAGGTATCTTGGACCCTCGGAGGCCGTCTTGGAAGCCATCTTGGACTATCTTGGGCGAACTTGGAGACCATATTTGGCCATCTTCGCCGTCTTAGAAGCATCTTGGAGCCATCCTAGGCCATGCACGAGCGAGAAAGGCATCCGGGCAAATTGGGCGGGCGGCCTTCCCAATGGCCGGCGGAATGAGCCGAAGCCCCAGGGGATTGTATTTTTATTTTTTATTTTGTTTTTAGTAAACATATATATATAGAGAGAGAGAGAGAGAACCTCAGGAAGCCATTAAGAACCCCTCCCTTCCGGCGAAAGTATAAAAGTATAACGCACCCGGCACCCCGGAAGCGTTACCCTGGCACCTCGCACCTTTATGTGAACGCAGACGAGTCCGCTCGCCGAAACAAGCAAGCCGCCTGAGACATTCTCGCAATATGGTCTCCTTGTGGTTCTGAAACAAGTGCCTCGCCTGAGACATCCTCAGAAACTGCTCTGGACGCAGACGAGTCTGCGTCGGGTGGTCGGTCTGGGCGAGAACTGGAGTGGCCGCGCGTCTTCCCAGCGCTCGGCCTTCCGAGCAGGGGCGCCCCAGCAAGGGAGAGCCCAGCTTTGAAAAGGAACCGTCCGTGCCTAGGATGGGGGGCGAATAATTTTGGCGGTGCGGGTGCTAAGATAACGCGTCGTGCGTGGCGGGGGCGGTATCCTCGGATGCACGACCTACCCCACACGACGGCCGGGAAGAAGCAATGTTTCAACAGGGGTGGCAATAATAATCGTTCAGGACAAAGAGTATGAAGAAAATGAGAAGAAGGAGGGAGGGAGGAAAAAAGCAGGGGAGCCTGTCTGTTTTCGGATTAGCATTATTATCATTACTCTTATTCCTATGTTTAGCATTATTAGTAGTAATCCTTATGTGTACTCTTATTATTGGTCTTATTGTACTTATTGTTTTTTTGGACAAGCTGTCGTATTTTTGTTTGTGCAGGTGCGGTGCTAGGATAACGCGCGGTGCGTGGCGGGGGCGATATCCTCGGATGCACTACCCGACACGACGGCCAGCCAAAACAAATCGTTCAACAGGGGTGGCAATACAAATCTTACAGGACAAGGGTGATGAAGATAATGAGCCAAGCTCGTACTATTATGCTTGTTCTTATTCTTATTCGGATCAGTATTCGGAGTATGATCATCATTATGTGTCGCACTATTATTCTTATGGAATTTAGCTTTACTCTTGCAATTACGTTTATATTTCGTAGTTCGCGCTTATTCTTATTATTATTCCAATTCCAGTTGGGATGCCATCCGAGACGGGGCGCGGGAATTATTTATGTTCGTTCCATTTGCGCGGTGTTAATCATACTGTTCGGTGAAAACCGCCCCCCATAATTATTTAATTGCGGTGCGGTGCTACCCAGAACCCGGGGGGGGGTCCTTAAATGGCTTCTTGAGGTTAGACGTTTAGCACGCCAGGCACCCTTGTGATAAATCAGCAGGGGGCGACAGATCGAAGACGCCTTCGGCGAATCACCGCCGCCCCCTGCCTTTTTGGAAGCGCCTATGTGGCCGAACGTTTGGGCAAAGATTGGCCACGCGATTGGACAATGCGTTCCCCCAGCCGTTGTGGAAGCCCTTCGGGGAACACGCGGGGGAAGTGAAGGATGAGGAAAGGGAGGAAAAAAGGAGCAGGAGGAGGAGGAGGAGACATGAGCCTGTTTTTTTATTGTTTGGGCCACAGCGCGCGTTATGGCCCCCCGCCCACCCACCCCCCTTTAACGTAACGCTCTGGCCCCCAGTGCGCCCCCGGTACTGCCGCCGTGCGCATAGGGATCCGCATAGGGACTCAAATATGGATCCGCATAGGCATCCACACAGAAATCCGCATAGGGATCCGCATGGGGATGGCATAGAGATATCCATCGGGATCCGCATAGGGATCCGCATTGGGTTTCTCAGGGATTCGCATAGGGATCCGGGTAGGGATCCGCGTAGGGATCCGCATGGCAATTCGCATAGCATGGGCATCCGCATAGGCATCCGCATATGGATCCGCGTAGGGATGGGCATATGGATCCGGGCAAGTTGCGGTGCTCTCAGGCACTTGTGGTGTTCGTAGGATACAATGTCGACGACGAGCAGGATGGAGAAGGGAGGTAAGGAGCATACCTCTTATACGCCACGCGGAGGCAACGACGCCTTCGCAGGCACGTGCTCGCCACAACTCCTCGTCGCTCTTCGTTGTCGGTCGTCGTCGTCGTCGTCGTCGCTCGTCCTCGTCGTCGTCGTCGTCATCTTCGTCGTCGTCGTCGTCGTGGTCGTCGTCGTCGGTCGTCATCGCTCGCGGTCGCTCGTCGTTGCCAAAGGCCTTCAGCTGCTTTCGAAGGCCTCTAGAGGCCTTCGGATGTCCTCCAGCAGGCCTCTAGA